TACTTATTGATTAAAACTACTTTTACGGATTTTATTGCGTTTATTTTACTATTATTTTTAATATATAGGATAAACAAAAAGATCAATTAGAACCCGCTTAAAAGAACATATAGCTGATGTGAAGCATCAACGTTCCGGGGAGTCTGCAGTTTGCGATCATATCCTACACGGCCCCAACCATTACATCAGATTTGATAGACCATAAATCCTCGCGAAAGAACACCGATTTCTACCAAAGATGATACGTGAGGCTATTGAAATTAAAAAAACATCCTAATTTCAATAGAGAAGGAGGCTGGGTACTACCACCTGCTTGGGATCCTATAATGAATAAAATTAAAACTAAACCCAAGCATACCACTGCAAGACCTCAGGACATAGTCAGTTCATTTTGCATAGATCGGACCATTGTTCACGATTCGTATGTAATCAGATCAATATAAAGTGTTTTAATTTTATTTGTGAACAATAGATGTCGTTAGTAGTAGATTACCTCGCGGTATGGTTCGAGGTGTATTAATTGCGTAAGGCGTTTGTGTGCTTTATAAAAAAGTAAACGATATCGGACGAAAGTAATATATATACCTAATCAAGATATTTGTTGGTTTTATTTAAAAGTACCAATAGATATTTAGCCCGCTACGTACACGACCGTATTCATGGTTCATCGTAAACCGGAAGTAACTGTCAAGGACAGATTTTTGTAATCGGTGGTTCCGGATTGGAATTACACCCCCCGCAACCAGAAGTAGCGGATTGCTACTTATAAGGTGTGGTGGTACTGGCTCATAGAAGTCGGTAAGAAGCAGTCGTCACTGTGGGCGGAAGTTGTTCACTGACAGACGGCAGGCGGTGTTCCAGTGGAAATCGTCAGGAGAGGTGCGCGAGGAGGCGAAAAGGGTGTTTACTGCGGAAGCAAGAGAGAGTGGGACAATCAATCGTGAGTACAATTTCGGTAATTTAAACCTTATGTGCAATTGAATAACAGTTCATTTAGTAGTTTAGACTTAGAGTAATTTTAAGAAATTTGGTTCATACGAGGAATCTATGCCCGATTTCATTTCAAGTCTAAAACACTTGTAAAATTTTATAAAATAATTCATAGGACTTATTAATTCATAGGAAAATTTTTGTGATCTTATAAAGACACTTGTAAATTTTTCAAAGTTTATTATAAGAAAATTTTTGTGATCTTATAACGACACTTGTAAATTTTTTAGTTTATTATATGGACTTGTCATTTTGAAGAGTTTATTTTGCCTCAAAATATAACTTGATTTCATGTAGTTTTTCAACATTAAAATATTTATTTTATTTTTAAAACTTTATAACAATTTAAAAAAATGCAGGCTTTATTTAAAGTACAACAAGATGTTGAAGTTAGAATAAGAAATGCTAAAATGAATTATAGTAAATCACCTAAAGATCGTATTAATCAACAGTATATTGAAGCTAGATTAGGAATATTAGAAGCATTATGGTCGAAGTTTTTAACAACTCATGATTGCTTAATAAAAGGTACAAAACAGGATGATTTAAAGGATATTGAATATGACGATTTATATGATAAAGTTGAAGAGTATTATGTAGAATATAAATGTAAATTATCAACTGATTTTAGCAATAATATAATGTTGAGAAAAATGATCAATATAGTTCTAAAAATAATGAAGCTGAGTCAAAAGGCTCGTTGGTTAAGTTACCAAAAATTACTATTAATCCGTTTTCGGGAAAGTATACTGAGTGGCCCACTTTTAGGGATTTATTCACGTCTTTAGAGCATAATAATACATCCTTTGATGATGTACATAAACTTAAGTATTTAAAGGGTTTTTTAACAGGTGAAGCCGAGCAATTAGTCAGGCATATACCTATTACCGAATTAAACTACAGTCAGTGTTGGGCATTATTACAAAAAAGGTATGATAACAAAAAATACCTAACTAATTGTACTTTAAAACGTTTATTTAACCAAAGGCGTATGAATGTAGAATCTGCCAAAGGGTTAAAGGACCTATTGGACACAACGTGATTGTTTAAATGCGTTGAGAAATCTCAACATTAATGTGGCCACCTGGGATATTATTATAATACATACTTACAGATAAATTAGATCTTGAAACCCGTAAGCAGTGGGAGTTAAATATATCGAGTGACAGTTGCACAGAATTACCTACCTATGAACAATTTTCGAATTTTATAGAGGGTCGATTTAGGGCTTTGGAATGTTTAGACAATAAAAAACCTACATTTCTACACAATCGACCATCACCCGCTCAACATTTACACTCACACACTCATCATGCAAACATTCTGTCATCAAAAAATATTCAATGTGAATATTGTACAGAAAACCATAAACTATGTTTTTGCAAGAAGTTCGCAAAGGAGGAAATACAATAAAAGACATGAATTTGTTTTAAATAACAATTTATGTCTAAATTGTTTAAGGACGTAATCACTCTGCAAAATATTGTAGAATAGATGTTTCTTGTCGTATTTGTAAAAAGCGGCATCACTCACTTCTTCACCCTAAATTTACACCAGTCGTACACAGTGGGCAAACAGACAAGGCCGTTACTAAAAATGAAAAAAGTGTAACGGCTAGTAGTTCAACCGAAACAACGCCAATCGTATCCTGCCTTTCGACAGGAAAAATCATTAGACAGGTTTTGCTAGCAACAGCTCTAGTGAAAGCTAAGTCTAAATTTGGCGATTTCAAAATTATTAGAGCCTTGCTCGATCAGGGCTCACAAGCATCGTTCGTTACTGAAAATACAGTTCAATTATTAAAGTTAAAAAAGCTACCGGTGAAGGGAGTTATTACAGGACTAGGCGGTAATCAGTCTTCCGTGGTGTCGAAGTACATGGTTTCTATTAAAATTCAATCACTGTCTGATCCCAGTTTTCACCTTGAAGTGAAAGCTTATGTTTTAAACAATATTACTACTTACCTACCTGGTAAAAGGGTTGCCTATTTACCTTGGGCTGAAATACAAAATGTTCAGTTGGCAGACCCAGAATATTATTCACCGAATAAAATTGACATTCTGCTTGGTGCAGACATTTACTGCCAGATTTTGAAGGAAGGAGTAACGAGAAGTCCTACTGGAACTCCTATTGCACAATGCACTACCTTAGGGTGGATCATTTCTGGTCTTGTAATGCCTGAAGATTGCGACAACTTACCAGCAGTTACAGTACTGCACTCTCAGATCAAAGAAGATGAAATTCTTAAAAAATTATGGGAAATAGAATCAGATCAATCAGGTATATCTAAAAGGATACTTACCGAGGAAGAGCTGAAATGTGAGATTTTCGCAGAGACGACTACTAGAACAGCAGAAGGTCGATGTGTGGTGAAATTACCGTTTCGTGATGAAGGTACATCCTGTAAACAAGGTGGTTCACGAGAGATAGCTGTGAAAAGATTGTTGGCCTTAGAGAGGAAAATGAAGGATAAAGAATTTAGAAATAGGTATACAAAGGTAATTCAGGAATACTTGAATTTGAATCATATGAGGCCAGTAGATAGTAAAGAAGAAGGAATGTACTTACCACATCACGCAGTTGTAAGAGAGGACAAGGCCACCACCAAACTTAGGGTAGTCTTTGATGCATCTACTAAAAACAAAAATGGCGTTTCACTAAATGATGTTTTAATGGTCGGCCCTACTTTACAATCCGACTTGCGTCACCTTGTCTTACGCTGGAGATGTCACCCAATAGCAATGGTAGCCGATATTATAAAAATGTACCGACAAGTCCGTGTTACTGATGAAGATGCAGCATATCAGCGAATGGTCTGGAGAAATAATCAGGAAAGTAAAATCCAGGATTTCGAGCTGGTAACGGTAACTTTTGGTACGGCATCTGCTCCATATTTAACCGTTAAGGTTCTGCAACAATTAGCGATTGATGACGGAGAGAAGTATGTTCATGCAAGGAATATAATATTAAAAGATTTCTATATGGATGATCTTATGACTGGCTGTGAAACTGTAAAAGAAAGAGTGGAAATATATAAGGAAATGAAGAAATTATTAAAGGGTTTTGAATTACAAGAGTGGAATAGCAATAAAAACGAACTACTTAAAGAGATAAGGAAGGATGAGGATAAAGAATGCATTGGTTGGAGTATGATAGATGAGAATAAAGAAAGGGAAGAGCTAGAAATAAAGTTAGATTCTACAATAAAAATATTGGGACTTACCTGGAGTCGCAGTAATGATGAGTTCCATTTCTCAGTGCAGCTTCCGGTTCTGGTCAAACCTGCAACAAAAAGACGTATTATTTCAGACATAGCACGGTTATTCGACCCATTGGGCTGGATAGCACCTTGTATCGTAGTAGCGAAATCATTTATACAAAAGCTATGGTTAACTGGTCTAGAATGGGATGCAGAGGTTCCAATGAAATTATTAAAGGAATGGCTGACTTACCGTGAAGAGTTACCACTACTCACGAAAATCCATATTCCTCGATGGTGCGGAACAAAGACAACTGATTCAAGTGTCGAATTGCACGGGTTTTTGGATGCTTCTAATATAGCATATGAAGCAGTCGTGTACATTCGCATAATGCACAGTAAAGGCAACGTTTATGTGTCCCTCTTAGCTGCAAAAACGAGAGTCGCTCCCATAAAAAGGATAAGCATTCCTCGTTTAGAATTATGTGGTGCTGTGCTGCTGACGCGCTTGCTCTTAGAAGTCGCAGAAGTTTTAAAAATTCCTGTGTATAATGTACGAACGTGGATAGATTCAACCGTTGTGTTGGCGTGGTTAAAGGGTCATCCTAGCCGTTGGAAGTGTTCTCGCGAGACGCAAAGCGAACGGACGCTTATGCGAGTAGTGCCGACTAATTATTACGTATAGGTTATTTTTTTTAATAATAATATGGATAATCAAATGGAAACAAAATGTAGTGGGTGCAACGAGTTGATTTTTGATATTTTATGCATAGAGTGTTCCCAAAAAACATGTAGAAAAGTGTATCATCATATGTGTGTATCAATAACGGCTGAGCAGTACCAAAATTTTACTGAAGAAGAGAAAGGTAAATGGGTTTGTCCAGAATGCCGGTGTAATATTCCGAAAGTAGACAACACCAATACACCGATTCGGGGAGTTTGCGTAATGGACAAATCGTTTTCACCGTCTTTTTATGTGAACAAAGAACGAAGAGATCGTCACAATTACCGCGAAGTATGTAAAGATAGTAGGATTATAGAGGAGATCCGAGAGTTCCGCATGGAAATGATTTCTCGGCTCGACGATCAAATGAAGGAATATAAACGGCTAGAAAAAAGATTTATTAATACCGAAACTGAGCTGCGGGAATTAAAAAATATTATGAAAGTAGTGCAGCAAAAAGCAAATAAGGTGGATGAGTTGGAGGAGCGTATTAAAGTACTTACAGAAATAAATGAACGTTTGGAAACTACTTTAACAGTAAAAAATACTACGAAGGAAATATTACAAACAAATGTGGAGCAATTAGTGTCATTTGCTAATATAACGAAGCAGAATAAAAATAAGGTAGTTAAAAATAACGGCCCAAATAAGGAGGGGGTAGTCGCAAAATCACCATCTCATTGTAACAATAGTACGGTATCAATAAGTGAAAAAACGCCGAACCCGAGCTCAAATAATTTTAATAATGAATCCAAGAAAGATGGTGTGGCCACGAAATCGGCAGAATTATCTAGTGTTCATAAATGCTCAGTTTCAATTAATGAAAACCAAGTTAATTCAGTGTCAGTAAATTCAACTAAGAACGCGAAGGACACATTGGAAAAAGAAGAAAACTGGACAGTAGTAAAAAAGAAAAAACAATAGGTATCCTAATAGTGAGGTAAAAAAGAGGAGGTAACACGAGTCTATCGGGTATACAAGGTACTGAACGTAAAAAATATTTACATGTCTGGCGACTGAAGAAGGACACTACGAGAGAAAGCATAGAAACACATGTTAAAAACATATGTGGCGCTGAAGTTCAAGTTCAGGTTGAACAAATTAAACATAAGACTGAACGGGATTATGCTTCGTTTATAATAGGGGTTCCGGAAAGTCACTATAAAAAGATATGTTTACCAGAGAATTGGGCATTAAATATTGAATTTTGTGAATGGGTGTGGTTTCGTCGATACACCGAAAAACCAAAAAAGCTTTAGGAGAACTATTGAAATTTTTTACCAGAACGTAAGAGGACTGAGAACGAAATTAGATGAATTTTGGGTGGCCGTTGCAAGCTTGATTTCCGATTTGTTTGCTATTACGGAAACCGGCTTTAATGAATCTATTCAAGACTCTGAAGTTATTCCAACCTGGATACAAAATGTTAAGATGCGATCGCGTAGACGGGCGGAAACAAGGCGGCGCTTGTCTAGTGGCCACACCGCGCTTCGAACTGCAGTTTGTACCTATATCGAGTGACATCAACATAGATTGTCGCGTATTTGAACTGGTTTGTGCTAGGGTATATTTAAGAGAAAGATTTATATTTTTCATATGCGTTGTTTACATACCACCAGGTAGTTGTGATAACGAATATATGTTATTATTTAAAATAATCGAGCATTGTTGTAGTAAATACAGTAAAGTCATAGTACTAGGAGATTTTAATTTGTATTCATGCTCCACTGCTATACGTAATTACTATGAACATTTTGTAACATACTGTCAGTTTTCTCAGAGCAATAGAATAGGAAATTGTAATGAACGACAATTGGATTTAGTGTTAAGTACATTTGATGGTGAGGAATCGGTGAGGGTGTATGCGGCTGATTTGGAGCTTGTGCCAGTGGATGCGCACCATCCCCCGCTTGAGGTAATAGTGTGGTTGCAATCCGCCGCAGACGAAACCTCTTCTGCGCAGGGCCCCATTGACAGCGAATGCTACGAGGTACCCGCTTGGAAGTTTAGCAAAGCTAACTTTCCTCTCTTGTATAAAACTATAGAGGAAATAGACTGGTCTCCAATATATGGTCTAGATTTAGAAGCAAGCCTTGATTTTTTTTATTGTACTATAAATAATATATTAGATAATTGTGTACCTAGGAAAAAAGTAAGTAAGGTAAGGTCAAAGTATATTTATCCTGAGTGGTATACAACTGAGATAATACGCGAGTTAAAATTAAAAGCAGATCGCCATAAGAGGTATAAGATGAGTAAATCACAAAACGATTATGAATTGTTTTCTAAGTGTCGAGCGAAAGTTAAAAAAATGATGAAACTCGCGCAGGAGCAACATCAGCGTCGCGTCCAAAGCCATCTCGTAGAAGATCCAAAAGCTTTTTGGAATTACATACGGTCCAAAAGAGGCTGCCTAAATAAAAAACAAATTTTGAAAAATGGACAAGTATTGAGTGGTAAGCAATGTGTAGAAGAGTTTGCTCAGTACTTCCATTCAGTGTATAGGACGGAACAACCCAACCTAAGCGTCACCGAGGCAATAATAGCGGCTGGTGGTGTCAACGCAGCTGCGCGGGTGCATATAGAAAGTCTGAGTATTCAGGATGTGCAACGTGCCTTAAAAAAGTTGAAACCAAAAAGGTCCGTAGGGGATGGTAATGATTGTGTTTAAGGTTAATGCACTTTCTGTGGAGCTGTTTTTCCCGATAGATGGAAAACCACACGGGTCGTTCCGGTTCCTAAAGGAAAAGTAGGATCGCAGGTACACGAATATCGACCTGTGGCCGTGCTTTCATCAGCAGCTAAAGTGTTAGAGTCGGTCATGTATGACAAAATATTCGTGCAGGTGAATCAGCAGCTCTCGGAAGCACAGCATGGGTTTCGCCCAATGAAAAGTACTACTAGCAACCTTCTTAGCTACATGGCTGAAGTTGTGCCCGCAGTGGATAGGGGGGTGCAGGTCGATGCCGCCTACTTTGACTTTAAAAAAGCGTTTGACTTAGTGGATAACGACGTCTTACTAAAAAAGTTAGCGGCAGTTGGCTTCACTCCACATTTATTAAAATTATTTGCCGGCTATATGACAGGTAGAAAGCAGTATGTGGAATATGCCGGCTATACGTCGGACCCATATATTACAAAATCTGGAGTAAGCCAGGGCAGTAATTTAGGGCCACTCCAGTTTTTATTACTGGTTAACGATTTGCCGGAGGTAGTTAAGCAATCTAGGTGCCTTCTTTTTGCTGACGACCTGAAGTTGTATCATGTCGTAGAAACATTGTCAGACTGTGAAAAGCTACAACAGGACGTAAACAGAGTAGTGGCATGGAGCAATAATAACCGTTTACAATTTAACACCTCCAAGTGTGTTACCATTTCGTTTACTAGAAAGCGCACGCCCATTGAATATAACTATGAAGTCGATGGTTCGCCAATGGTAAGAGTTAAAGAAGTTAAAGATCTGGGCGTTCGGCTAAATAGTGAATTATCATTTAGGGAACACATTCTCAATTGCTGCAAAAAAGCGTATAGAAACTTGGGCTTCATTCTTCGCACAGTTTACGGTTTTACTAACATTAATTTAATCGTTACTATGTATAATACACTGGTAAGAAGTAATCTGGAGTGTAACGCTGTAATATGGTCACCACATGAAAAAAGGTATAGCACAATGCTAGAACGGGTGCAAAATAAATTTATTAGATACCTATATATGCGCCATTATGGGGTATACCCTATGTACCCATTAATGTACCCAACCTTATTTATTCTGGGTATGGTTGGCTACAACGAGTTGAGGGTAAGACGAGACCTCGGCTTAGCCTTATATATTTTTAAAGTGCTTAGGGGAAAAATATATAATAGTGACATATTGGGGCGGATTATGTTGTGTGTTCCAGACGGGTACGTATGGAAACGGCGGCGGCCGCGGCTGCTCTTCGTTCCGCGCGCCCGAACCAATTTACTAGATAAAGCACCTTTAACGCGAACGTTACGCATTCTTAATACAAATGGCTGAAGACATTGACCTATTCTATTGCTCCTTGAGTGAATTTACTAGGGTGGGATTGTTTACAATTTGTTACAGTTAATTTCTACATTTTTTGTTATGCATAAAAAGAACTACACTGTCGCATTAGGTTATTCCTGTCATGATAGTTGTTAGTTTCAATAAATAAATAAATAAATAAATAAATAAATAAATAAATGAAGGAAGACTTTTGTTGAGAATCGCGTTTCGGAGATTCTAACATCACTAGATTCAAGTCATTGGGCTCACATAAAGTCGAGAGACAATCCGGCGGATTACGCATCACGAGGCCTTTTACCATCAGAGCTAATCAATTTCAAAACATGGATGTCTGGTCCAAAGTTTCTCTCAAATAAGACGGTAGTCTATGAGAAACCATTGGAATCAGATGTTCATTTAGAAGAAGCCATAAGATCTCATATAACTTCAATTGATGTTTCCATATTAGACCGATATTCTAGTCTCAGTAAGCTACTTAGAGTTGTAGCGTATTGTAGGCGTTTTAAAAGGGCTTTAAAAAGATATAAGAATACCGAAGCACATACAAAATATTTGCGGAAGAAAGAATTGGATAAAGCATTAATGTGTTGTATAAGACTGTGTCAAAAACAAGAATTTGCTGAAGAATATGCAGAGATTGAGAAAAGGGCTAATGTGCAGGCAAAGGGTAGTAAAATAAAATCTCTGTCGCCTTACTTAGATAAAAATAAAATTTTAAGAGTTGGTGGTCGTCTTCAAGCATCATCTATGCATGAAGATGCCAAACATCCTATAGTACTGCCACATAATTCTAATATAAACAGATTAATTATTTCTGATGCACACCATAAGACTTTACACGGCGGTCCTCAATTAATGCTAAATTATTTGCGATCCGCTTATTGGATAGTTGGTCTAAAGAGCCTAGTGAGGCAACATGTTCGCAGATGTGTGACATGTATAAGACAAAGGGCCAATACGAAAACCCAACTGATGGGTCAATTACCACCAGTGCGTGCTACTCCATCTAGAGCATTTCTCCATAGTGGGGTCGATTATGCTGGTCCAATAAATCTAAGAGTTTCGAAAGGGTGTGGACACCGTGCATATAAGGGTTATATTTGTCATTTTGTGTGCATGGCAACTAAAGCCATACATTTGGAGGTGGTCAGCGATATGACTGCCCAAGCATTTATTGCTGCTTTTAGACGGTTCGTGTCTAGACGTGGTCACTGCGCGGCATTGTGGAGTGATAACGGTTCGATATTTATTGGTGCAGCTAAAGAGCTAAAAGAATTACGTGACACGCAGGAAACAGTAGCCAAAACTCTAGGAATAACTGGTACAGACCCAAGCATTTATTGCTGATTTTAGACGGTTCGTGTCTATACGTGGTCATTGCGCGGCATTGTGGAGTGATAACGGTTCGACATTTATTGGTGCAGCTAAAGAGCTAAAAGAATTACGTGACACGCAGGAAACAGTAGCCAAAACTCTAGGAATAACTGGTACAGACCCAAGCATTTATTGCTGCTTTTAGACGGTTCGTGTCTATACGTGGTCATTGCGCGGCATTGTGGAGTGATAACGGTTCGACATTTATTGGTGCAGCTAAAGAGCTAAAAGAATTACGTGACACGCAGGAAACAGTAGCCAAAACTCTAGAAATAACTGGTACATAATGGCATTTTATTCCACCCCATGCTCCCAATTTTGGTGGATTATGGGAGGCAGGGGTGCGATCTACAAAGCACCATTTAAAAAGAATTGTAGGAAATTCCACCCTCACATTCGAGGAAATGACCACACTCCTCAATCAGGTAGAGGCATGCTTAAATTCTAGGCCTTTAACGGTTGTAAATACTGGTGATCCAGGAGATCCGGTCCCTTTAACTCCTGGTCATTTTTTAGTCGGGGAACCATTAGTATGTGTAGCTGATGCCAACTATGAAAATGTAAACATTAGTCCCTTGAATAGGTGGCATCTAGTGCAAAGAATGTTGCAGCATTTTTGGCGTAGGTGGTCCCAGGAATATCTTACATCTTATTTACACCGTCATAAATGGGCTTTGCAGCATCCTGAGCCCCAAATCGGGGATGTCGTCTTAATAAAGGAAGATGATTTGCCTCCTGCTCACTGGTTGCTAGGTCGAATATTACAAAAACATCCCGGCCCCGATGATATCACTCGAGTGGTCACATTAAAGACTAAAAAATCTGTAATTAAACGGCCAACTTCCCGTTTATGTATACTACCTATATCAGATTAATAAGCAAAGACGTAAATGTATGAAATTGTATGTGTATTGTAGTTTCTGTTTGTAACAAATTGAAGATTTTTTTTTTGCGTTATTTATTTTTTGTTTTTATTTAAATTGTATTAAGCTTATGGTAGTATAGTAATGTGTTGCTTTAGTTATATTAAGAAGATTATTATTTCTCATCTCGCCTAATTTTTGTGTATTTAGAATAATAATAGTTTTATGTTTTTCTTTTGTTATTGTTACTTTACTTTAAAATTAAAGGACATATCTTTGATAATGTACTTGGTGGGTTGTATATGTTGTATCGTATGTAATCAGATCAATATAAAGTGTTTTAATTTTATTTGTGAACAATAGATGTCGCTAGTAGTAGATTACCTCGCGGTATGGTTCGAGGTGTATTAATTGCATAAGGCGTTTGTGTGCTTTATAAAAAAGTGAACGATATCGGAAGAAAGTAATATATATATATACCTAATCAAGATATCTGTTGGTTTTATTTAAAAGTACCAATAGATATTTAGCCCGCTACGTACGACCGTATTCACCATAAACAATAATTAAAAAAGCTGAAGGTACTCTGGGTTTAACCTGGGTCCCCCGTGACCATGGGTGCTGGAAAGCGCCCGAAACGTCGGCAATTAAAAATAATAGTAAAATAAACGCGATAAAATCCGTAAAAGTAGTTTTAATCAATGTGTAGTGTTCGCGTAATTATAAGAAATCATTTGTATACTTAGTTTAATCTTAATAATTTTTTAGTTGAATGGTCAAGGGGTATGATGGCTATACGAGTACAAAACTAATCCAACTGTAGAGATGTGTAAGACAGGGTGACTTAATATCTCCGAAATACTTTACCGCTGCATTGGAAAACGTTTTCAACCTACTGGTACTGGAAATGATACGGTATTAACGTCAATGTCGTGTACGTCACTCACCTTCGATTTGCCGACAATATAGTCCTTATGACAATCGCTGGAGGGCCTACGCATTATGTCAATGACCTTAATAGTGTCCCCCAACGGATAGGTCTTAAGATAAACATGGACAAAACATAAGTCACGTGTAATGTCCATGTTACACCTATGTCGGTGGTTTTTGGGAGCACTTAGCTGAAGTTGTTGATGAGAATTTTTATTGGGACAAATAGTCCGACTAGGTAGGTCCGTCGATTGACCTGTCAGATCACGACAGGTCAACTCGGCTGGGCAGCGTTCGGGAGATTACAACACTTCTTCTCGTCAGGAATACCTCAAAACTATATTGTATAACCAATGTGTGTTGCCAGTGATGAAATATGGATCTGAGACGAGGTCTTTCACGTCAGTTATTACACTACCCTGATTTTACGCCCTTACTACAGTGTTGCCGTATGAAGAAAAAAAGATGCACAAAATTCCGCTAATACTTCATGTGTCCTATAATGAGCCTACACCTGCTTCTATCCTTTTTTCACAGTTTTAGTAATTAGTCGAAGATGTTTTCAGGTAGTTAAGTCTTTGTGTGGCGGCTTTGCTAAAGATTTTTTTATTGATGACGTACTCACTGTTTCAGCTGACATACGTTGTTCATAACGCCGAAAATCCGCTATACTTCGGCGTTTGAATGTTGAAGTGACAGCACGCTGATGGCTAAGTCCACTAATTCCAGAACGGCACTCATCCTAGCCACATTTTTGAATCGGGTGACTTGAGCCCAAAATTTCACTATATCATCACCATCACCTTCGTATTTGACCTATTGAATTCCATGCTAATTGTTCCTACTCAGATCTAAATTTCTGGCTATAAGCCTTCTGCCTCGGTGGCACTTCCATTTGAAATTTTCACGAAACAATCAAAACTGAGCTAAAAGACTAACACTAAACTCGAAAGTGGGAAAAAACAGTTCTTCTCAGGTATTAAAGCTTAGAGGATTAATATAATGAAAAGCAAAACAGCTACACACCATGCATAAGAGAGATAAAACAATTAACGCATCAGCAACATTTTAGTCGGAGAATACCCGAATGATAGACTCGCTAGTGTTTTTATTACACCGTGCTGTCAACTGATATCAAATTTTCCGCCAGATTCCACTAGATATTTTTTTAGCCCTTAGATATCTAAAAAAAGCGCTATAGACCCTAGAATTGCACTAGATCTAGCTCCAAACACTTTAAAACGGCTACACTGCCTTACTCAGTCATAGGGATGGACGAGTGAAAAAAGTATATATATATATATATATATATATATATATATATATATATATATATATATATATTTATTGAATCGATATTTTAACAGTATAAATATTATTGCGTGATAAATATCGATATATCGTCATGTTTTGCATGACGTAGTAGGTTTGGTATACGTTTTGAAGACGAAAAAAAAAACGACAATTAATAGTAAAGAAAAGAGGATGAGAAGAAAGATATGGGTGAAAGATATTTAAAACTTAGGTAAAATCACTCAAATATCGCTCGGTTTATCGGAATTCTTAAGCTAATTAACGCATTCGAATACCTGAGAATAGGGGAAGAGGAGTTCAAAGAGCTATTAAGTTTAGTTCCTTATATCGAAAAACAAAATTCGGTTTTAAGACAGAGTGTTAAGTGCTAGGCAAAGATTATTTGTGACTTTAAAATTTCTAGCGATTTATGTGCGCGTAGTTGTGTGAGCGCTTTGTGTTTCAAAGAGTATTAGCTACTACCATAATATTTTTTATTATATAGAATTTTATGATAACTAAGTTACTTTAGAATATTTGAACTGTTAAATAGCTTATTTACCTACATCTTGAAACTAGACTGGTTTTGTTTTGTGAAGAGTGCTATAAAGTTAATTTTGTTGTTAAATATAGGTACTTACTAATTGATTCAAACCAAAAATACATAAGTATATGATACATACTAAATATATCTTTTTATTTCAATCCTATCTACTAATTTTAGTAATGATAGTTGACCCAACCCATCAAAGAGTTAGACAAATTTATAAATAGTAATTGTAACAAACCATTTACCGTGTTTCGGTATATGGATACACCCAGGAGAGGAGCTTATTAGGCGCCGGGTTGTCAAAATTGTTATTTTTAAATTCAATTCGAAAGAAATAAACGTAAAACTAAAAAATATTTAATTAATTCTTGTTTTCTGATAATTATGCGATAAATTTAAATTTGTTAAAATAAATAGTGTAAAACTTCCTAAAATATTACGCAATATTATGAAAATTACGCAGCAACTTGTACCCTTGGCGTCACTTATTGAAGATGTAAAGACCAGTAAGCTTGAAATATCGAATCTTAAGAGCTAAGTTGAATTTGCTCACCAAACTGCAAGCCAGTTGTCGGTGACAGTGAAGTCCCTGGAATCCAGGATTTCGCAAGTTGAGGAATACACCAATTTGATCCACATTTTGGGTGCTGACCTTAATAAGTTAAAAGAAGATCTACAGGATAAGGAACAATGGGCGCGGGCCAATAATGTGGAAATAAAAGGGACTCCAGTGAAAAAGTCCGAGAACTTATACGATATTGTGGATAATATCAGTAAAGTTATCCAGTGCTCTATAGGTAAAGAAGACATCAATTATATTGCCCGAGTCCCCAGCCTCAAAGCAGAGTCTCAAAAGTCCATAATCATGGCGCTCAACAATCGTTACTGCAAGGAAGAGTTTGTAGCAGCTGCGCGTAAACATAAGGAACTCAAAGTTTCTCAACTGGGATACGCCGATGAAGGTCATGTATCGTCCACGACCATCTCACGCTATTTAATAAAGCTCTTAAGAAGGCGAAGGATCTGGCGAAAACAAAAAACTTCAAATATGTGTGGATAAAACATTGCAAGATTCTGGCCCGAAAATCCGACACATCACCGACGTTCCGCATAAAATCAGAAAAAGATCTTCTAAATTTTCATAAAATTCATAAAGTGCGTATATTTCAATTTACTAAATGCTTGTAGGACATATTGCTCAAGATTATATTATTTCAACTCGCGTAAATATTGTGATTGTTGCGCCCGCGACGCGGGAAGCCCTGACTATTTGTATTGCTTATCGCTATTACTCACTACCTATACGCGGCGGTCATTAGTGATGGCAATTCTGTTAATACCTATCGTAACTGCATGTACTTAGAGGTAGAATTTCTTAGCACCCCGCATGTACTGGTGGAACATATTATTTTTACCTTTTAAAATGTTACTCAATGTTTGCGTGTTGTCGATATTTACGAGATACCTACTACCGTTCTCGCTTTTTAACTTTGCTTTTGCCGTCTTTTTGTTGATTGCTCTACTTGCAACTCGCTTTCGCAAAACAATGCCGCTTTGCAGTAGTGATTGTTGTGAATTCCAGACCAAAATCCGAACCAATTTTATATATAATGTAACGATTGTGTACTCTAAAATTCGATATTAATATTTTTTATCAAAATGCTCGGGGACTGCGCACTAAAACAAGCTTATTTAAGAGAAATGTGGCCTTAAGCAGCTTTGATATCATATCAATAACGGAGACTTGGCTATTAGATGGCATTAGTGATAGTGAACTTTTTGATGAACGGTATATAGTGTGGCGGCGTGACCGCGACTACCGCTCCACCGGGCAGCGGTACGGCGGCGGCGTGCTGGTGGCCGTGCGCCGCGAGCTCGCCACCGCCGGCTGCCTGGCTTGGCTCTCCTCCGCCGAAGATATTTGGGTCTCCGTGACACTCCGCACCAAAGCCGACCTTCTCGCATTACACATTTGCACTATTTATTTATGTAAGGAGGGAGGCGGCTATTCAATGAATACACAACTCGATAACTTCGCGAGTAAGCTTGGGGATAACTTTCACTCTGCACCCAACGACCTGTTTATGGTCTTGGGAGATTTTAATATGCCAAATATCAGCCGGATCTTAATGGAAAGCGGTCAATTAGGGCCAATAGGTGTTTTAAACGAAAGTCAGGCAAATTTGTTGGACATAATTAATGAATGTAATCTCGACCAATACAATAACATACGATAAAGCAACGATAGGCTACTGGATCTTGTCTTTTGCAATAACCATGTAAATGTACTACCCAGTGACCACCCCCTTGTCTCAGAGGATTCACACCATAGATCAATATGCATCGAATTAAATTTAGACATACCTAGTTTTCTGACTGTCAATAAGAGAACCGTTTTCAATTACAAAGAAGGAAGTTATGTAGAAATTAATTCAAACTTGTCGAAAACAGATTGGAATGTCTTGTTATCGAGCGGTTCTATTGACGACAGTGTTCATAATTTTTATCGTATTCTGACCGATCTTCGTGACGAATTTATACCTCACAAAATTATCTGTAGTAGCTCATTTCCTATTTGGTACAAGCCGCCTTAAAAAAGGATTTAAAAGAAAAATTCAAATATTTTAAAAAATATAAAAAATATGGTAACCGGTACGATTACGAAACATACTCATTTCTGAGAGAAAGAGCCGTAAAATTAGAAAGTGAGTGTTATAAGGCATACATAAGTAAAGTAGAAAACTCGGTAATAAATAACCCAAGTCTTTTTTGGTCTTACACAAAGTCGCTGATAGGGCCCTCCCAGGCACTACCATCTGTTATGACATATGAGGACCAGTCTGGTGATACTGGACAATCGGTGTGTAATTTATTTTCAGAATACTTTCAATCAACTTTTGAATGACTGAATTTAAAAACGTAAGTTACAAAGAGCGATGTTTGTTTATTAAGTAAAGCATTAAGTTGCTATTTTACGCTGTAATCTGTGAGTGTCGTACTTCCCCAATCGAGTCGACTAATTCGTGTTACAATTATAATATAATGTTTGTTTACTTTAAGTAAAATCAGAGCAGCTTGTGTGTTAGCAACACCACATCCAATGGGGAAGAAAGGTTCTCGAGTGACAACCTTAAAGTGGTAAGCTAAGTGTAAGGGTAGGGTAGCTACCCACTAATGAAGTTAAGATCTGTGTATGTAGGAAGACAAAAAAAATTATTCTTTTTTTGAAGTTGGCTAACTAGTTAGTGTCTTGGTTTTGTTTTCCCTGATGATAATTTCAATATACATTTTATTTACACCATCGATCACTATTAAAACCTAGATACACAATCAATGACAAAAAATGGCCTCACCGAATGAGCACCTATTCGAACATTTGGGTGCACTTTTAATTTAGTTACATCCAAATGCTCCGACAGTAAACATGCCTCAGTGCTCGGTTAAATAGAATAAAAATCATACATCCAGGACGCTAAAAAAGGATGGAATTTCCTAATTTCGGTACGTATTAATATTATCCTTATTTAAGGCCGAATACGAAGCGAATGACCTTGCTAGATTCGTACCTCTCTACCTATTAGTTAGTACCTCTCTAGTATATATCTATATCATCTATGGCACGCTGTCTTTCGAACATCGCGTAGCTGTACGAGTGCGCTATCTTGGTATGCAGAGTAATGCATAGTAGAGAGAGCATTGTTTACTTCTTAATTAAATATTTTTTATTTATAATATTAGTTCCTACAGATTATAAATTGTGTACTTTATTCGTTACAAACATACAAAAATAATAATGTTTCCTCTTTATAATATTAGTTTAGATTATAAGTTATGTAGTTATTCTGTACAGAAAAATTATTGAATTGACATCGATATTTTTTTCAGAATTGTTGCATCGTACGTAAAATACTTCACGTCACTGAATTGTAAATTGTTTGTTTTTGTGAGTTTTAGAAGACGCCGTAATGCTACATGCATAAGTAATAAAGAAAAAAAATTAAAAAGTCCCTGTTTGCCCAATAGTAGGGGTGTGTGTAAATTCTCACAAGACTACTTCGACCAGTCAATCACTTAATACCCGTAGTATGTCGGTTTTTCTTAATTATGTACTTACCCCATACTTTCGGACAATACATTGACTATGACATTATTTGCGGTCTCTGTGCTTGCACTACTCTGTACATTATCTTGGTCGTGATATTTACATTTTTAGAGTTTCACGCAGAAACGTATAAATAATCAGTTTTGCTTATATAAATTAGTAAAAATGCAGCCTATTTGGCAACCCCCAACAAAAAGTACAGTAAAAGTAAGTAAAAATATAAGCTCAAAGTGGAACGTACCACACTCGAGGAGCGTTCTTGCGATAAACTCTCTTTGTTTTACCACTTAAGTAATAATTTTTTTTCCTACGCTTATTCACGTTTATAGTCACTTAAAGGCGGATAAACCCCTAAATTAACGATTTTCAATACAGACATAACTGACTATTACCACCTTACACCACACATCGAAGCGCCTGGTAATTTATGATGGCAAACTTTTATCTGGCAATATACAATATTACTAGGCATTTGTAATTAAAACGAATTATGTTAATAGAAAAGAATTGTATCGCAAAAGGTTGAAAATAAAGAAGACGTGCACCTTTGGAATCACAATACAAATATTTTTACGTGAAAATAATTTTTCCTTAACTTATATTCACAGAGTTTTGAAAAAAAAAATAATTTTGAGATATCATTTCTTAACACATTCTTTAAATTGGTATATTGACTTATTTTAAAATTTAAAAAAGGCAGACACCTTGTAAAGGAACCGAACAAACCTACAAAGTATGTTTTAACGCTTAAAATTACTTCAGGTCAAAGTTCTAGTGCACAGAAGTACACAAAGTTTCACCAGTTCTCTTCGTATTCGACCTTAAAAGTTATCACTGTATTGTAAATACTTATATTTTGTCAAGAAATACCCGTAAAACATTTTTTAAATTAAGTCGTAGTATAAAAATTCATAATTGTTCAAGTTATGTGTGTTGACTTTGTTCCATTTGTTGGAGACGTTATTATTTTTTTATTATTAAAGTATGATTGTTTTTTAATGTACTTCTTAATTGTTTTTCTAAATATTATAGTAACATTATATATATATATATATATATATATATATATATATATATATATATATATATATATATATATATATATATATATAATTTTGAATATGTGTATGTAATAAAATGAAAGTTGTGAGATTTTATTTTTTATTTTATTTTTTTGCTTTCCTCCAGATCCAGTTATCTGTGGAGAATGGATATCAGTCATAGCATATAAAAAATCCGAAGAATTCTTCAAGCCGACCCAAGGAAGCGTTGTATGGACAAGCATTTCTTAGACAGCGATGAATATGTGACTACGACTTACAACTTTCTGTACATACTTTTTATATTTAGTAACAATTGAAATTAGATTTAAAATTTAAAAAAGGCAGACACCTTGTAAAGGAACCGAACAAACCTACAAAGTATGTTTTAACGCTTAAAATTACTTCAGGTCAAAGTTCTAGTGCACAGAAGTACACAAAGTTTCACCAGTACTCTTCGTATTCGACCATAAAAGTTATCACTGTATTGTAAATACTTATATTTTGTCAAGAAATACCCGTAAAACATTTTTTAAATTAAGTCGTAGTATAAAAATTCATAATTGTTCGAGTTATGTGTGTTGACTTTGTTCCATTTGTTGGAGACGTTATTATTTTTTTATTATTAAAGTATGATTGTTTTTTTAATGTACTTCTTAATTGTTTCTCTAAATATTATAGTAACACTATATATATATATATATATATATATATATATATATATATATTTTTTTTATAATTTTGAATATGTGTATGTAATAAAATGAAAGTTGTGAGATTTTATTTTTTATTTTATTTTTTTGCTTTCCTCCAGATCCAGTTATCTGTGGAGAATGGATATCAGTCATAGCATATAAAAATCCGAAGAATTCTTCAAGCCGACCCAAGGAAGCGTTGTATGGACAAGCATTTCTTAGACAGCGATGAATATGTGACTACGACTTACAACTTTCTGTACATACTTTTTATATTTAGTAACAATTGAAATTAGATTTAAGTTGTTTGTTAAGAAATATTTTTAAATTTTGACACAAGATAAAAAATAAATAAATAATTTTGACTGTTTTAATTACTTTCATTACTAAATGAATGTGGTGTAATATCCAAAAACATATTTACGTTTAGATAAATTATAACCATAACACCTAATACATCATAGAATAGAATGGAATATGCTTTATGAACACCAATTTTTTAAAACAAGTTTAACAACATTTTGAAATTAAAATAACAGTAACAAAAAAATATTGGGCAGTTCAACTCCACTCATTCCCGGTCCAAGCGACGAGCCTCGGTCATAAAAATTTATTGCTTTTTGTACGCACCTTTGATGTCAACTGCTTGCCGACGTTTAATAGCCTAAATAATTATTATTAAATCAGATAAATCGCGCACGCAAGCTAAATAAAACTTTATCGCCGCGCGTTAGTGTCCATATTACTTTGCATCTTTTCCGCTTCCTAAGTCACGGTGGACTTTCCGTGGTTGTTAAGGGATGTCAATAGAAAGTAAAAAACACATTGCGAAATGTTAATTATGTTACTTAGGTGAAGTTTCTATTCTATGATCGACTGACCATACTTTCACCCATATGTGAGTTCGTCGGGAATCGCAACGCTTGGTTCGAAAGAAATAGGTAGATAGGGTAAACAACGAATAAACCTGCAATACGATTACTAACAGAAATGTGATCTATTCTACTTACTTAAAAATCTTCTTAGTATACAAAGTTTTAATTTCAGTATTTTGTGTTAATATAACTTAAAATATTTTAATTACAAAAGACAAGTATAGGTATGTATGTAAGTAAATACTTGGATAGTGAAGTAAATTTTAACTAATTTTTTGTAATAAAGTACTTAGGTATTTCTTCTGTAGACCAAATTATTACTTAATTCTTTTTTGCTGTAAGTACCTATCTAACAAAAAAAAAAATTAAATAAATTCAACTTTCATAATTTCCTTCTAAAATTCTTCGATAACTTAAAGAATGATTGAAACCTTTTGTTGGTCATTTCATTTAGTATCCATCCACGCAACAGTTATAGTAGGAACGACGTATTGCTATTATAATTTATCAAATAGGTAGTGTACATAATATATAAATTTTTAAAATACATTAAAACTTTTACAACTATTTTTATCTACAATTAAATATACTAAACACTAAACAAAACCTATTTCAACAAGTATTTACTTCAGGCCGTGACAGCTTAGTTCCATTCTACGCAACTTGGCGCTACCGTCGCAATTTGTCCTCTGCCTACGGACGCCATTTTGAGACGCCATATTGTGTTAATGTCAAATCAGTCAAAAATCAAAATTATCGATATAGATTGCCGCCATTATTTATCCAAATTTATATCTCTTGGGCCCAAGTATTAACAAGATTAAAAGTACGACCATTTGTAAGCATATATATAGACAATTCATAGCTGAAAATCTCGCAAGATTTGTCAATGTAGGAACTAGCGCGCACACAACAAATTAGCTAATAAGCTATAATAAAATTCTAAATAACAAATTGTTTTGGTTGTAGCTAATTACTCTTTGAAACATATGATGACACTATATTGATCATAATTAATCAAAATTATAAAGGCAATTAAATTACACAACTAGCTATAATAAAATTCTAAATAACAAATTGTTTTGGTTGTAGCTCAATACTCTTTGAAACGTAAAGCGTGCACACAACAAACAAATCACTCTTTTGCTAGCTCACTTGATCCATTCATGTACAGCAGCCAAAACTCGAGTTAGGGAGATCCAACTCGAGTTAACTCATCACTAATTATCTGAAATCGATTACTTGAATTATTGTTGTAGCTGTTACTTGTTGGAATATTTTGTATTTTTTATTATTATTTTGTAGACATGTATGCAATTATTTTTTATCTCCCTAGTTAACACAGAAAAATAATCAAAAATAGATTATTAAAATGCTCAATTTAATCAAGAATCAATTATTATATTATCGATGTTATGTAATAATCAATATTTAATAAAAATCATTCTATTATATTCTACTAAAATATCGAAAAAGCAGCAATTTATCACAAATTTCCAAAGATTGCATGTGGGTAAATTTTTCTCCAGAATAAGCATTTTGTGGCTTTGCTACTTTGGACTCTCTTTTTACTCTTTGACTTTATGGTCAGTTAGGTACAAATGTCATTGACTCTACATCATTATTTGCTATGATTATGTAATTTTTTCAGGATGGGATGTCACAACTGAACATAATTACTGTAAAGAGCAAGATGATGATTTCACAGAAGCTGTGGTTAGAAAGCCTGGTATGTACAAATATGTTAATTGATGTTAATTGTAAATTATAGTAAACATATTATGATAACACTGTGGTTTCTAAAAATATTTTATTTAAATTTCAGTCAGTGGCAAATTTTTCAACATTTTGAGTAATGTTTTCAGGAAGTGATGTTATGATTGAACACAATTACTACAAAGAGCAAAATGATTGTTCCAAATCATCGGTAGAGATTGGATCGTCAGGTGTGTATATTCATGTAGCACTAGTTACTAACTAGCAAAAAAAGCTTTCTAACTATTTTGTAAATTTACTAACCATTCATTTTCTAATAATGTGTTTGCCTAATCATACTGACATCTATAAAAATGCAATCTTGTAATAAATTTCAGATGTTGCAAATGCTCATGAACAGCCTTCATGTTCTAATTTTTCAACTGTTGCAACAGTTGTAGAAAATAAAGGTATGTGAAATTTTATTGGACATAATTATTATACATTTATGTAGGGATCAAATTAAAAGAAGTACTTATATATCGGGTAATAGAAAAAATACTTTAAATGCTTAAAAACAGGCTGTGGACTGGAGGTATCACTACATACCTAGAACTGCATCAATTCTAGAGGTTGGTTATGTGTATTTGATACTAAGTTGACACTAGGATAATATTGCATGCCTTAAGCGCAAAGCACGTAGGTATGTTCAACTAGTGCCTAAAAATCAAGATTTCAACGTTTTGTTGCATGAAATTGTATCTAACAATCATATTTGTTTATTTTTCAGATGCATTCTTGGAGAAACCTCCAAGTGCAAGTGCCAAAGGCATGGAAATAGATGTTCTCGAGGAACTCGTAGATTTGTCTGCTTATATTAAACTAACTTTTATTAACAGTAGCTAGATTTAATGTAGACATACAATACAGAGAAGCATACATTGTAAATTTATTATTTAATATTGAGTTTATGTTTAAGACCATAACATTCATAACTATTGCTTCCTTTCAGGAATTGATTCTAATGCTAATGTGGTGAAACAAATGATGCCAAAAGGTAGCACATGTACAAAAAAGCAAACAGGTATGATAAATTCAGTTCATTCTTAGACATAATTAGAAAAAGTTTCAATATCTACCTCAAATCACAATAAGAGTTCTTTGTTCTTCACCTAATCCCAAGATTACAGTTCCACTACACTTCAATGGTTTTATCAACAACTCCTTTACTGTTAAGGTTACATTTTTCTGGTACTCTTCATCCACTTTATTTGTTATCTTATCAAAGTGAATACATTAAAAGATTAAAATAAAAGTATATAAATAAAAAATTATTAATTTAAGTGTAAATATGAATATAGAATTTAATTATTTTATTTGTTTCACTTCAGGTTACATGGTGAAGAAAATAGTATCAAGGAAAAAAAATTGATTAAATTTTTGACTAATATTGCAACTGAAACTTTAAGTGACTCAGCATCACAAGGACTTGATCAAGCCCAATCCCTGTCAAGAAATAAAGACCTTTTGGAAAACTTTTATTTGTTAAACAAACGAGCTCAGACTTTCTTGTTTATGCAATTAAAACAAATTCATAAAAGCAAAATGACCAGAAGGTTTACCTTAGAGGAAAAATTAATGGCATTGCTCGTAATGAAACAAAGCCCCAAATGTTAAACTATTAGAAAGAATGTTTGCCTTGCCTAGTAAACGGACATTAAATAGACTTTCTGAGAAGGTTTTAATACAAGCAGGACTCAATCCATTAATATTTGAACATATATCTAATACAACCAAAAAATGGGACACTAATCAAAAGCTATGCACAATAGTTTTTGATGAAGTCTCTCTGACACCACATTTAACTTTTAATGAGAAAGATGATATAATTAATGGGTTTGTAGATATAGCTGGAGAGAGAAAACTAAAATATTGTGATCATGCTTTAGTTTTTATGCTAAGAGGAATATGCTCTCCATGGAGACAGAGTGTAGCATTTTATTTCTGTGAAGGCACAGTATCAGCAGCAGAGCTGCAATGCATTTTAAAGCAGATTGTGTCCCAAGTAATACGAACTGGGTTAATACCTTTAGGTCTTGTTTGTGACCAAGGGTCCACATTTCGAACAGCAATAAGAAGACTTAGGGAAGATACAATTCGTAGTCGGAATATTCAAGGTGTTCATGATGGTGTGTACCATTCTTAATTACTTAAAAACCATTTCTACTTCATGACAAATATTATTTATTTTAATTATTTTACAGATGGATCAGTTAATATTGCTGATCACGATTTAAGCATATTTTTTGACCCACCTCATCTCTTAAAGGGTTTAAGGAATAATTTTTTAAATAAAGATATAATTTGGGAAGAACAAACTGCCTCTTGGAAAAATATTGAGTTCATTTTTGATTTGGATAGCAAATTGGGACACACAAGGGCACTACCAAAGTTAACGGCTCATCATGTTGATCGCCAAAAGATCAAAAAAATGAAGGTCAGCGTAGCTGCTCAAGTATTTAGTGTTTGAACTGCTGCTATGCTCAAATATACAAATGCACTCAGTAAGTAACGATTGCTATATTGATTTGTAGGCTTATTCAATTTATGTATATACATACTATTGTAAAATTTCATGTAAAAAAATGGTTAAAAAAGTCTGTTGTTGTAACCAAATAAGTAGTGTCTTTTGGCGAAAGATTTGCAGGTCTAACTGTAAAATAAATTAAATAGTACTTTTTTTTCAGAATATTTTCATACTGCAAACTCTGACGCAACAATGGCCACAACAGCAGAAGTTGTTGAATTCTTCGACACACTGTTTGACAGCATCAATGGTACCCGGGTGTGCAAAGAGGAAAGTTAAGACGAGCGGTTAAACAAAATTCACAACATCACACTTTTTGGATTGAGGCCATTAATAAAATAAAATAAATGGTTTTTGTAGACACCAGTAGCAAACATGCTACAAAAGCAGGAAAACTTCGACTTGTGCGAGTGCCATCCCAACAAGGATGGGTTACAACTCTTGAAAGTTTTATAAGGGTCTCCAAATTATTATTTGAACAGTATAATGTAGAATATTATTATCCGAGGAATATTAATCAAGACCCATTAGAGAATTTTTTTGGACGTATAAGAGCTATAAATTATAGAAATGTTAACCCAGATGCAAACACATTTATATATGCCTTTAAATCTTTGATATTATCTAACATGCTTAGTCCACATTCCAAATTCTCTATTTGTGAAGAGGATAATGGAGAAACATTATTAAATGTTAGTGTTCTTTTTAAAAACCTTCATAATAATAAATAAAATGACTCGGAAAACACTACCAGTGTTTTGCGAGATCTCCCATTTTCTTCACAAGTAAGTTCAGGAGAAAAATTGCTGGTGAATGATGTAGTCATGGAAAAAATTAAAGTCCACTGCTCAGCTTACATTGCTGGATACATTTGTCGGAAAATAACGAAAGCGATTCGTTGTACGGATTGCATCAAAACATATATTAGCAGTGCAGAGAGAAACATTCACTCTTACATTAAATTTAGAGAGTATAAATTGTTAAAAAATAATAATTTGGCATACCCTAACGAAAAATTCCTTATCTTGTATAGGGATGGTACTCACTTTATTCATAACTATTTGAATTATAGCTGTATTGGAAGTAATATAAAAAGTAATTTGAAAAGAAAAATGTTGAGCACTTTGAGTTTTTCCTGCCTAGAGTGTGATAAGCATGCCTTGTCAAAAACTTTTTCATTAATATTTTAATTAGATTACATGGACACAATTGGTGCAACATAAATAATAAAATATTGAAGGGTGATATTGATGAAAAATATGTATCTAAAATGGGTGAACCCCAAAAATTGGCCCTAAAAAAGTATAAAAGTTTTAGGTTAAGAAAAACATATTTCCTTTTGGCGCCACGCCAAAAACTCACTACAGTGTCCTGTACAAAGGAAGTACAAAAATACCTACGAAAAAAACAGTGCTGCCAAGAGTTGATATATCGATAACACAAAATAATTTGTTTTTGTTGGTTTTTGTACAATAAATGACTATAATCGGGTATGTTTTATTTAATCTACTTTGTACATAAATAAAAAACAAATAATAACAATAAAATAGTAGTAAACCACAACACTACTCTCCATCGTGATGACGTCACTGTCACGACTGGACGACAACGTCGTAGCTGACCTTTCTTTTTTGAAACTTTCTTAGAGATGTACCCGTGTTGCTCGTTGTGTATCGATTTCAAAATCGATCTAACCAAAATATACAGACTTCGATTCAAAATATTTTATGGCGAGGCGTAGGCCAAGTGAATCACAGAAGAAAAGTCTTACGCTCTTATGACAATGGGGGTTTCATATAATGCTGATGCTGCCAGATGATTTTGAGATTGAGAAAGAAAATCGCACAACACAAAATGAAAAATTGTTCTTCATACCTTAAGTAAACACATTTGTTATTTGTAATTTTATATTATTAAAATAAAAAAGGTACATAATTATTCACTAATCAAAAATTGTATATAATCATTCGCACTAGGAAAATCAGTGTTATAATATTAAAATCTTGGTCATGGAATAAAAAATCGGTACTTATTATAGAAATCAACAAATGATACATAATTATCCACCAACCAACAATTGTATATAATTATTCGCACTAGGAAAATCAGTCTTATAATATTAAAATTTTGGTCATGGAATTAAAAATCAGTACTTATTATAAAATCAACAAATGGTACATAATTATCCACCAATCAACAATTGTATATAATTATTTGCACTAGGTCTAGTCTTAAAATATTAAAATCTTGGTCTTTAACTAAAAATCAGTACTTATTAATGAAAACAACAATTAAAATAATTAATAAATTATAGCAAAGATGTTTTAAAGATACAGATACCGTGTTGCTAACCCATCGCACCGTTCAATGACTCCAGTCTGATTCATGTGTGCGTGAGTACCACGTGACGCGCATATCTTACGTACCACGCCTGCATTAGTGTGCGTGACTACGGTAATAATAGTGCGAATCGATTGCCCAAAAATTTGGGAGATTTTATATTTCATTCATATTGACATACCTGAGTGTGTGCGAGGCGTGTGCATTTGTGTCCGAATGTGAATGGGGATATACACACAGAAGGGATATGGATGGTTATATGTGTTTTATGTAGGTACGAAAATCGCACTAAAATAGTGAAGATAAGTAATAAAACCTAGATATAATTAATGTAACAGTTAAAAATAAATAAAAAATCACAGTAGATATTTATGTATCTAACATATATTGAACTAATCTATTATTATTGAATATACAACATGTAACATAATTAACGCACTTTGAGAAAGTAGTTTGTTAAGAATCGTTTACTGAATCGATTCCTATCATTTTTAATATAGGTAATTTTTTATCCCAAAAATAATTTAAACTACGTAAATTACAGTCACACTACATCTGTACAGTCAAAACAAACTGAAATGGAACGTAACTTAAGGCAATAAGACTTTTAAGACTGCAGTTTTGTATTATTACTAATTCTGTCGTTCAAAAAAGAAAAGAAAGAAAAATAAACTTTATTTCAAGCACGTTAAAGTCTTTGCGTTCGTGGATTTGTATTGTGACCACAACATTCGTCCGGAATTAGTATAACTAATTTGATAAATATTTAGTGCATAAAAATGTTTAACTAAAATTCAGTATGTGTATTATGATTATAACATAATATACTAATTGGGGTGTCTGAGGGTGTGCGTTAATTACGTTACATATTGTATATAGAGTACTACACTTTCGTACCTTAGAACCCAAAATATTGTCGCTTTTTACGAAGACATTAATTATTTTTTAATCTTAAGTAAAATGACGTACAAAAGTAAGTTTGGTTAAGTGTAACCGTAAAAGTTAACTTCGGCCAAGCGATAGCAAATTTTTTTTTAAATTCATATATCGATCCAGTTTCATGACTAGATCAAGTAACCGGTTAAACAACCGGTTCACAACGGTTGCGAATCGGCTGCTTTGGATAAATATCCGTTATCAACAGTTGCTTTACATCTATTAATGACATTAAAATAGGGAAAAACATTTCATACGGTAGGCAACACTCGAATATTATTGCGCAGTATTATTACTTGCATTGACATTCAGCTTTCGTATTATTTTATCAAGAAATACACCAGAAAATTGTATATTTACTTATGAAAAGTGATGTTCTTATCCTTATCTTTTTTCCAAGAGTAATTTTTACATGATTTCACAGCACAAACAGTCATTTTGTGAAATTAAAAACACTGGTGCGTGATGTATGTCTGAACATCTTTGAATTATAGGTAATCTTAGTCTTAAAATAATAAAAACCCTATGGAATAATAAAACATAAATGTTTAGCTGTCCAAAGCAAATTTTCTAACGTGGTAGAGCCATGCTGCAGTTATATTACGACAGAGTAGTTGTAGCACGAATGGGTCGGCTCAACCGGGGAGAACCACGCTCTCACAGAATACCAGCGTCAAATAGTAGCTTAATGCTGCTGTGTTTCGTATGGTAAGTGTAGAGAACCGGAGACCCTCTTTACTGGAAACGAGGCATTCCATCTAAGTCCTCACGGGTGAGAGCGCATCTGCATTTATATATACTGTAAGACGCGAAA